GATTAGAGTATGTTTTGTCTCAGTCGACCTGATTTCCTCGGGCAGATCTTGATCTTAAGTTGCCTCATTAACCTAAATGCTGCACAGATTCACAGTTTCTGCAGTGAAAACTTTGGGTCAAGCTCAGCAAGAATCATGATTATTACAGCCAGTTTTCAGTTTTGCTGCTAAGATGCTATTTGCAGTGGTGGATTACTGCATGCACAGAACTGATAGTTTCACTTAAATAAATAAAAAAAATAATGGCACAGAAAGTCAGCCTAATACTGAAAACATAACATGGGTTAGGATGAGTAGAACTTCATTTATCTCTAAAGAAACTCTTGTGCCAGGTGTTGCTCAGAAATTATATGACATGAAAATAAATGCAGTGCCTGATTTAAAAAAAAAAAAAAAAAAGAAAGCAGTAAGATATGAATATAATACATTCCTGAAAATAAGATGTGGATATTATTAATAAATTAATAATAATAATTATTGACAACAACAATAATAAAAACTTACTGTACAGGTATATATTGTTTGTAAATAAAGTAATAATAATGGAAACATAATAATAATAACAACAATAATAAAAATTAAAATAACCTTTTAGTTCAAAACACTCAGATGGATGAAACAGTAAATCAAAACTATCTCCTAAAGAGTAATGCTGGTTATGATGGCAGAGGAAAACCAGACTCATGTCTTCACTCTTGAAGTCAGATGTGTTCCACGATCCTGATGAATTTTTTATTTGTAACTATGAACTTTATTTATTTAGGTAAAGGTTACAAGTATTATCAGCAAAATGTGCTTGAAGTTACCAAAAAGTACTCACTGTGCCATCAAATGTTCCTTGTCAGTGTTTTCCTGTAAGAGCTTCTATTTTTGGATTCATATTAATAAATGTGCATGCAGCATTTCACTGCTGTATAGATGTTTAAGCTTGAAAGGCCACAGTTGCAAAATTACATACATCGCTTTTAGCTATTCTGATTTTTTTTTTTTTTTTTTAATTTTTAAATCTGCAAGTGTACCGATTCTTTAAGACCACCTTTAGTTTAAAGTTTTCACTATGCTTCTCACAAAGCTGTTGGACAGTAGATGTGCATACAGGTCCAGCCATCAGGCCATGAGTTTGCTTCAAGTTCAGGGAACACACAGTAAATATTTATTTTCCAGAAAAAATAAATAAATGATGAATTAAGGCTCTGTTTCATGACAGTCCTACATTGATTTGACAAAGGATCGTATTTAACAATTGCAATGAAGTGTTCATCATGATGGATCGAGGAACTGATTACTTCGATACACTTTCACCAGTGTTCCAACATTTTATCTATAAACTAGAGCTAAAACAATTCATTGAGCCATCAACTAGCAGAAAATAATACATCATGATTTGGAGTGTCAGTCAAAACAATTTAATCAAAGTTCACATTAATAAACAAACTGTCTGAAGATGTAAGTTAAAAATGTAAAGAATGAATGATTATAATAAAAACCATTAGGGCTCTGGTCCATGGAGGACTGTAGTTGTTCAAATGTCAACTTCAATCAAAATGTGCATTCCAATACTAAATGAGACAACATGAGAAGGCATGAGAGGCTCATGGTTCTAAAACCTCTTCTGTTTTCACGTTTTTAAACATTGGTGGGTTTGTGCTTTAATATATAGTTTCTGAACCTGAAAGCTGAGAATTTGAATTCTGAAAATGGCCGCTGTTGTTTATTTGCAGGCAGAAGAGAAAACGGAGACATTTGTCATGTCATGAGGCACTGTGGGATACTAACTCTGCAAATATGATGAAGGTATCGAACTTGTTGTTGCTGATGACACTCTGACTGGAGCCATACAGTCCCAGGGCGACCGTCTTGATTAGGACTTCCATCAGAAACTAGGAAAACACGACAACGTCCAAAGCCTGCCCCATATATGATAAAATGTATTGTTGACGTACAGAGGGACAAACGCTGATGTTAACAGTCATTCTAAAATTCTGAACCCCTAACATTCTAAAACCCAGACTTCAGATTACACTGCAACAAGAACAAAATGAAACCCACTAGGGCTGCAAGGTGGCACAGTGGTTAGCACTGTTGCCTTGCAGCAAGAAGGTTGCCGGTTCGCGTGCTTTCTGCGTGGAGTTTGCATGTTCTCCCTGTGCAGCGTGGGTTCTCTCCGGGTTCTCTGGCTTCCTCCCACAAGGCCCAAAAACATGTTGAGGTTAACTGGTGATGGTCCGTAGGTGTGAATGTCAGTGTGCTTGGTTGTCTGTCTCTAAGTGTGGCCCTGTGATAGACTGGTGACATGTCCAGGGTGTCCCCTGCCTTCGCCCTAAGTCAGCTGGGATAGACTCCAGCCCCCCCCCCGTGACCCTAGTGAGGATTAAACGGTGTATAGATAATGGATGGATGGATATTCTGCTTTCTGTTGACAGACCTGAGCCTGGTGATTCCTGCTACAGAGAGATGGTGGTCTGGTCCTGAGGGTGGTGCTAGTGAGTGGGGTGGAGGATGACAGAAGAAGAAGTGGACAGAGCTGTGTCCAGATGTGCTGCAGGTAAAGAAGACAGGAAGAACGTCGGCCGAACGTCAACTCTGGTAAAATCTGTAAGTTTGCTTTGTTTGCTGCTTTAACTTCAGTGATGTTGCTGCTTGTTTCTGCTCTGTGATGTTTCTACAGGTTTGCTTCTTATTTCACCACAACATTTGGATCACTGCTGTTTAAACATCAATCAATACGATTATTTGGCTATTGATTCAGTGAAGCCGATCAATGTTTATATTAGATCACTGACTGACGACAGTTGATCAGTTTGTCAGCGGCTGATGATTCTTTATTTCTTCAGAAATCAAACTGCGTCATGTCTTTTTTACTTTCGGTTTCAAGAGCCACTGCGTCGCAGCTAGAAGGTTGCCGGTTCGTGTCCCGGTGAGGACACCCAGGATCTTTCTGCGTGGAGTTTGCATGTTCTCCCCGTGCAGCGTGGGTTCTCTCCGGGTTCTCCGGCTTCCTCCCACACAGTCCAAAAACATGNCAATGTTTAACATCTCTAAATAAGTCATTGACATACATTTTTCAGTTTTATTTAAAGGGCTATTTACGCATAAACTTGGGTAACAATTTTAATGATGATATATTCTTGAGGTTTGTATAAGATTATTCATCCATTTTTGTTATTATGAATCAGAAATATACTGTATGGATTAAACTGTGCCTTCAGTGTCACAGCACCACAAATTTGCATACAAATCTATAGTCAGTGTCGCGCTGACCTGTGCATAATTTACAGAGGTGACATCATCAATTACTTTATTTTTCTGCCATGCGACTTAACTGTGATAATAATCTCAGTTTTTGAGCACAAAGTGTTTCCCCAAACAGCAACAGAAGACATACAGGCATAATATCATCAGAATTTAAATATCAGTTAAAAATACGTGTCAAAACTTTTAAAAACAAAAAAAAGAATTAAAAGACAGTCCAAAGTAAAACTCGACTAAAATCAGGAAAAATTCTCGGATTAGAATATGTTTTGACTCAGTTTCCTCGGGCAGATCTTAATCTTAAATTGCCTCATTAACCTAAATGCTGCACAGATTCACAGATAATGGATGGATGGACATCTCCCACTATGAAAGTTTTTTTTTTTTTTTTTTTTCGCAATAAGTTGTCATTAGCCTTTCTTTGATTGATTGATTTGATATGTTGCTCAGAGTTCATGAGTTCATCCAAGCAGCTGCTGACAAAAGTCATTCTCAGTGAGTAAAGTTTGACATTTTTATTTTCTTTTTCGTCCTTATTAAAGGGCAGTTTCTTGGTTCCTGCCCACCGTCACTGACTGCTTCCTCAAAGGAATCCAGAGGGAAGTTTGGATTGTTGCTTTAACATTTGTAAGATCTTCATCTTACTGATTTCAGTTTCCTCTGTCCATTCTTATGACATATGGTTCTGAATTACTTACACAGTGTGGTTTAAGTGATTCCTTTCATTCTTTGGTCTGTGTATGTTCAGAGTTGTTGAGATATAAATAAACTGCATTGAATGAATTTGGAGGTGAGGCTTCAGTGAGAGCTGCTGGTCCATCAGTGTTCAACCATGTTTCAGTTAAAAACACACAGTCGCTGTGAAGATCTACAATCAGGTCATTATGAGAAATGTTTTGTTTCAGAAGGATCTTGTGTTTAAACGTGACACATTCAGAGTAGCTGGTTCTTCATGTGTGGACCAGCAGGTGGTTTATGTGAAGGTGTTTTGGTGCTGGAAGCTGGAGCTGCTTTTATTCTGATCAATAATCAATGACTGATGTTTCTGCGCTGGATCTTCTGCTTTCTGTTGACAGACCTGAGCCTGGTGATTCCTGCTACAGAGAGATGGTGGTCTGGTCCTGAGGGTGACGCTAGTGAGTGGGGTGGAGGATGACAGAAAAAGAAGTGGGCGGAGCTGTGTCCAGGTGTGCTGCAGGTAAAGAAGACAGGAAGAATGTTGGCTGAACGTCAACTCTGGTAAAATCTGTAAGTTTGCTTTGTTTGCTGCTTTAACTTCAGTAACGTCGCTGCTTGTTTCTGCTCTGGGATGTTTCTACAGGTTCACTTCTTATTTCACCACAACCTTTGGATCACTGCTGTTTAAACATCAATCAATACGATTATTTGACTATAATTCAGTGACTATGATTCAGTGAAGCCGATCAATATTTATTTTATATCATTGATTCACTTCAGTAAATCAGGCTGATGTTTCTTTATTTCTTCTTTATTTCTTCAGAAATCAAACTGCTTCATGTCTTTTACTTTCAGTTCCACTGAGAACCACTGCAGCTCCATGACGCCATCTGCTGGACTGATAGTAGAAGTGCAGCAGCAGATGTTTTCAGGAGGATTTTAGTGGAGCAATGACATTTGTTTCCTCTGCAGGTTAAGGTAGAATGTGTGTGTGAGCTGCTGTGAGTTCAGCAGCATGGATCAGTGTGAGGACAGAGAGGAGGGAGTCCCTCCCTCTAAAAGCTCTCTGTGTGGGGATCAGGAGAACCAGAGCAAAGCTCAGAGGTGAGACCACCATCTCTACCCATCCATGACTCTTCTGCATGTCAGAGTTGGCATCACATCACTGCTGCATCTTTATTCACAGGAACCGACCTGGAGCTGGACCTGAACATGGGCCTGAACCTGAACCTGAACCTGGACCTGGATCTGAACCTGGACCTGGACCTGAACCCAGCTGTGTTTCCTTTAAGAGCGACCAGTCAAAGGGTCGCCTAGCTGATTTCAAAGGACATCAACCTCCTGCTGTGAAGAAGTAAGTCGTAAAATATAGGATCTGATTGTTGTATCGACTCTGTCATTTGTTGTTTTAATTGTATTCCAACAATAAATTCCTCTGAAACACTGTTAAAAGTTTCATTTTGACTGAAACAAATTAAAGTGAATTTCTTTGCTGGTGGTTTTCTTTTCTATTTACTAGAATCCAACAGGGACAAGACTCCTCTGATCCTGGACCTGGACCCAGCTGTATGTCCTTTAAGAGTGACCGGTCAATGGGTCGCCTCATTGGTTTTAAAGAAAGTCGACCTCCTGCTGCAGAGAAGTGAGCTGTGAAATATTCTCATTTATGACTTTACTGTTATTTATCCAGATACATTTTCATCACATCATTAAACATTAATATTAATATTAACACTAATTGGATCAGTCTGTGTCATCTCAGATCACAATGTTGCTGGTGTTTCAGTGTTTTATTATCGGGTCAGTCTGCATCAGTTCAGGCAGAATTCAGAAAACTTGTTGCTGTACTGTCTCAAATTTTGATAAAGGTTTACTTTTTTGTTATTTAGGACTCAAACTAAGTTCTGTAAAAAATATTTTTGGAACATTTTAAATATGTAATGTTTCTAGACCTTTAAATTTATATGTTTTCACCCTAAAGACAATGAACATCTGGGAAGCCATATTAATTCAAACCTCCAGAAATACAGTGTCTAGTAAAAGTATTCACCTGCCCTGGAAGCTTCCCATTTTATTCTTTTTCAATATTGAATCATGGCCATTATAATTAACCTGTTTTGAGTAGAATTCAAAAAGATGCTTTCTCAGGTCAAAGTAAAAACAGATTTTGACAAAAATAATATTAAATAATTACACTATATAGAATGCAAAACTAGTGATTAGTGTGTTTGTAATGATGTACAGTGTTTGGTGTCTGCCAAACATAGCTTTTACTCTGATGGCAAAAAAGCTGGTAACCTGTAGTCCAGATTTAATATGAGCTTTTTCCAACAGTGTCTTTCTCTTTTCCACTCTCTCAAAAAGCCTTGGTCAGTGAAGAACTGGCAACAGTTGCTGTATGCACACTCAGCCAATGAAGCTTGTAAATATAATACAGCGTACAACTCTTTCCCAGTCCAACTAGTCCAATCTTCTCAAGCTGTGGCTTCATGAAAGGCTGCTGGGGGCTTTGCAGATATAAAAACACCCCTTAAAGTGCACACTCTATGCCAATATGGAGGAGATGTGATGGAGAAGGTAAAGAACCGGTTCAGCAACAACAAAACAGACGTATCTCTGAAATGTTTTGAAGTCAGTCTTTGTGTTTGACACATTATTTTAGCTGAAAAGGTCATATTGAATGTTGCTCTGCACTGTACAGTCACTGTATTGTCAGAGTTAATGAACAGAAGCATTAAACCTATAAAACTCAACACAACATGCAACGACAGACAACAGCATGACTTAGAAACAGAGAAAGTGATGATAATTCAACACACATCACAATTAATCTCATGTTTATTGAAACCCATCATGATATGTGGTGTAAGAACAAGACAATTGCAATAGTAGATCCATGCTGCAGTAAAAACAGAAGAAAACAATGTAAAGGACTCATCTTTACTCAAAGGATTTACATTTCATTTATTTGCATGAAGTAAATTCTCAGAAGATGTTTCAGTGTCTTTGTTGGTCTTCATATCCCGTTTGTATTATCTTCTTCTCCTCAAAATTGGAGCCAGATGGAGAGACAGAACATGAACTATTGACATCAGCAGATATTTACTTTTTGCACATCAATGAAATGTAGATTGTTTGACGAAAGATGAGTCCTTCACATGTTTTCTTTCTGTTGCTTTTAATGCAGCATTGATCTATTGTTGAACTTGTCTTCTTGATGCAGCACTTGTGATTGTTGAGTGTTTCAGTGAACATGTGATTGATTGTGATGTTTGTTAAATCCTCTTCAGTATCTCTGTTCAGAGTTTATTTCCACTTTCTGTAAGACAACATTCAATGAGACAATATCAGCCTCATGTTGTTGGATTTCAACATAAAGAACATGGATGTAGCTTGTCATTTTGCACATATAATGACAACATATAGACCCGTATGAACACTCATTTATCTCTCCTACCAATGAGTCACATCAATTTTTGGTCAAAATATCAAAAAACTAGAACCTTGTCTTGCCACACATACAATTCTACTGATGTTAAAACCTCAAAAGGTGGTGAAATGCAGACCAAAGATTGTATGCTTAGTAGGAAATATGGATCCATCCTTATTTATACACTAACAGGAACTTTCTATGGCCTTATTACAACTTTTGTTTTTAAATTTTGTGCTGTCTTCCATTTTCAAGGTTCAGTAATTAAAATGCTGGAGTCATGGAATGACTGGGATCTGCTGGAAGCAATTATATCTGTGTCCTCAGCAAATGTGATGGCTGTGACATTTTTATTTTTTATGGATGTATTGTGATTTGAAATTCTCAAAATTCTGCAACAGTATTTTGCAGTCCTTAACTTTGGGTCCCAAATAACATACAATTCAACTCTGAACTGAATCTGAGATGGTGCAGCAACACATGTTCCAGTTGAAAAATCTAAGAATGAATCCAGATGGGTTGGATTCTGGCAGATACAATTATTTCTGTCCATCCATCCACCTGCCCACCATAGTGTTCTAGACACCTGGATATCTTCTGATTGATGTTTAGGTGTGTAAATGGTGTCTTTCTAGACTTTATCCAATCAGGTCAATTTGTCTCAGGTGAAATCTGGTCAGGTTGGAGACACGTCAAAGATTATTAAAGTAAACAGGAAGCAGCTGAACACAGTTTAAAGCCACAGCAAAGTCTGAACAGGTTAAATTACTGCTGTGGTTCCTCCTGGTGCAGCTTGGAGGAACCAGGAGGAACCAGGAGGAGCCACACACCACCACACATCATGTTTCCAATTCTGTAGTCTACAATTCTACAATTTCATTTTGCAGACTCTTTTATCCAAAGCGATGTACATTTGAGAGCAGACACAAGACAAGCAAGGATGGAATGAGGCATTCAGCCTCTCCAGGCCTCTTCACAGAGCTACCAATGACTCTGATGTTTAAAAATGTGCTTTCATGGACCTTCAGCTTGTGTTTGTCTCTGTGTGATAAACTGTAAGCTAACTATTGATGTTTGGTCCACAGAGTGGACCAGCAGAACTCAGAGGTTCCCAGTACTCAGTTTGACCAGCAGCATCACCTGGACTCCATATTCATGGTGTGTACATGTACAACAACTACTTCTCCATCTATTGTGTCCACAGTCGTCTCCATGCTGCTCTTTGTAGACCAGTGGACGATCAGTGTGTCCAACATACACTACTCACAATAAGCTAGGGATATTGTGAGAGACTCAGTGGATTTCATACATACAGTCTTAGTTTCACTTCAGAGATTTCTGGGACAGGGAGGCTATTGTGATAGACACACCTCATTTTGCGTTTTCCATGTAATGGTCTCACTGTGTACGGTGTGCCTTACATATTGGGGCCAATACCAAAAAACTAAAAGACAACCCTTTTCAATGTGGCACCAATTTCAACATTCTGTGGGTATAAAAAGCTGGTATTGTCAGTAAGTCATTTCAAGTTCATCGTTCAAAAAGCCACGAACACACNAGGTTTATGTTCTGGCTTCAGGTTTAATTAAAAAGCCACGACCAGAAGACCTGAGGGTTCTTGAGGGTTCATAACGTAAAAGCAAATCTGATAAATACGAAGGACCAAGACCATTAGGAACTTTATAAACTAATAAAAGGATCTTAAAATCAATTGTAAAAGAGACACGTAACCAGAGACTTTAAAAATAGTGTAATATGAGCTCTCCTCTGGTCTTCGATAGAACTCGTGCTGCCGAGTTCTGAAGTAGTTGGAGTCTTCTATTGGAGACCAGACAGTGCAACATTACAATAATCAGTGCTGCATGTAATAAAAACATCTATTAGAGTATCTCCATTAGTTTTAGAGAGGACTGGTCACAGTCTGGCAATGATTTTTTAGTGATAAAAAGACATCTTGGTAATATTTTTAATGTGGGCCTCAAACTTGACTGCTGAGTCCAAGATTTTTAACTTGTTTTCATGGTTTTAATGCCAGAGCTTGTGGTTGTGAACTGAGATCGTCCCTCTGAGCTTCAGTTCCAATGACCAGAGGCTCAGTTTTGTCCTGGTGGAGTTGTAAAAAGTTCTCTGCCATCCATGATTCACTGTCTAAAATACAGTTCAAAAGGGCATCAACTGGCCACCAGGAGACACGACGATGTATAGCTGTGTGTCATCAGCGTAACTATGGAAACTGATGCCATGTCTTCTGAGGACGGTTTCAAATGGTAACATATACAAACTAATAAGTGTGGGCCCTAAAATTGAACCCTGAGGAACACCAAAATTTATGACTCTTAGATGAGGAATCATCTGTTCTTACTAAAAACTCTCTGTCAGTCAGTCGTTTTCTGATGTACCATCACGTGACCCAGCGGCGCCAGGCAATCCCAATAGCATGCGTGCAGAGCCAGAGGCTGCACTCTCAGGACCCGCACTGACAGGACCACACTTCTAGGGCCGCACACTTTTTGTATGGTTTAGAGCAGTTTAGAGCGCCACCTACTGCAATGGATGATCACTAAAGTGCACGACTTATGGTTTAAAGGAAGATGTCACACAAAATGTACTTATAATTTTAAAGGTTTATTCAAGGACTATGCCACAGAATGTGCAACTTCATGTCCAAGTAGCTGTAATATTAAAGGTTTATTCCACCCAAACAATGCTTTTTCACTGACAAGTTAAGGTTTGAGAGGTTTATTGCACCCAAAATGCTACTTATTACAATAATAATGATAACTTGGTTGCTAAGACAAATTGTGTCATTTACATACTTGTGTCATTATCAGGTAAAATAATATTATAATCATCTGCTGTGGCCTCTGGATCTCAACCACGATGGTTAAAAAGGTTGGTAAGAGGTGAAACACAGGGACAACTTTGGAGGCAGATATTTATATTTATTTAATACAATCTACACAAACACATACAAGAAAAGTANGGATTCATGGAAACAAAGGAGCACATTTAACCATCTTCAAACTGTCACATCTCTGAGGTCATCGTCAAAGGTTTAATACTGATCACATGATCCATCAATAACTGCAGCTGTGTTGTGTTTGTTCTCTCCATCAGATTCCTGTGAACTCACAGTCGACACAAACACAGTAAACAGGAACCTCAAACTGTCTGACAACAACAGGAAGGTGACATTTGTGAAGGAGGATCAGTCGTATCCTGATCATCCAGAGAGGTTTAACTGGTGTCAGCTGCTGTGTAGAACTGGTCTGACTGGTCGCTGTTACTGGGAGGTTGAGTGGAGCGGAAAGGTTGAGATATCAGTGAGTTACATAGGAATCAGAAAGAAAGGAGACTTTAATGACTGTGTGTTTGGATTTAATCATCAGTCCTGGACTCTGTTCTGCTCTGATGGTGGTTACTCTGTCAGCCATAATAACAGAGAAACATCCATCAGGTCTTCAGTCTCTCACAGAGTATCAGTTTATGTGGACTGTCCTGCTGGAACTCTGTCCTTCTACAGAGTCTCCTCTGACTCTCTGATCCACCTCCACACCTTCAACACCACATTCACTGAACCTCTGTATCCTGGATTTGGGTTCTGGTCTGGTTCCTCAGTGTGTCTGTGTTGAGTTCAGTATCCAGAGTGTCCTCCTGTTAAAAAAAACAGTTTTCCTGTTGAACAGATAGTTCAGTCTCTACATGTCTCTGTTACTCAGAAACGTGTTCAGATCCAAGATTTTAACAAACATTAAACTGTGACATTATTTTACAACAAACTATCCTGTGTCAGCTTTTACTAAGATGATATAATAAACTACATGACGTCTGTAGTAAAATCTTTACAGCGTCCTGATGTTTTATATTTTTTGTCCAGAAAACATGATGTACTATGACATTTTAAGCACACAATACTGCGGCCTTATTATTTATGATTTACTTTATTTTGAGATTTTTATATCCATGAATGGTGGTCAGAGAAAAAGACTTCAGGTCCTGCTGATAAAATGTCTTTTTCATCTCATGGAAGGTTTTGCCTCTGTAAAGAAAGAATAATTTCTTAAATTGTATGAAAATGTACAAAAGATTAAACTTTACAGAACAATATATAACCGACCAGTGGAATGAATTCCTCAGTTTTTGGTTCAATACAAAAGTCTGTTACGCATGTGTTTTTCCTTTGAGAATCTGGATGAACTTTACTACTATCCATATTATAAACAATAATAAATTGATCAACAACCAGCAAATAGTTTGTTGTGTTTTAAAATTTCAACATTTATACCATTTTCTTCATGATGCAACAATATTTTAAATCAATCAGTCAATCAATCAATCAATCAGACTTTATTCATAAAACACTTCGAAAAAAATGCAACACAAAGTGCTTTACAGATAACAGGAAAAAAAATGCTATGAAACAGTACAAACAATCCTGACATTGTTCTATATAACACATGTGATCCGGAAACACCAAGTGAGATGAAATGAAATAAACACAAGTTGGAAAAATAGCTAAAATCAAATAAATCAAGTATATTATTAAAATAGGGATAGATGAAGATAGACGAAAAGTTACAAAAAATTAATAGAATAAGAAATGATGAAAATGAAGTGATAAATTACATTAAATAGATTAAAATATGTAAATAGGTGAATAAATAGAAAAGTAAATGCAGAAATATAATTTTAAAGGTTTATTCAAGGACTATTCCACAGAATGTGTAACTTCATGTCCAAGTAGTTCTAATATTAAACGTTTATTCCACCCAAACAATGCTTTTTCACTGACAAGTTAAGGTTTGAGAAGTTTATTGCACCCAAAATACTACTTATTACAATAATAATGATAACTTGGTTGCTAAGAAAAATTGTGTTATTTATATACGTTTGTCATTATCAGGTAAAATAATATAATCATCTGCTGTGGCCTCTGGATCTCAAGCACGATGGTTTAAAAGGTTGGTAAGAGGTGAAACACAGGGTAAACTTTGGAGGCAGATATTTATATTTATTTAATACAATCTACACAAACACATACAAGAAAAGTAAATTAGTCTTGTGATTCCTATCACTGNTCACAGGAACCAACCTGGACCTGGACCTGAACCTGAACCTGGACCTGGAGCTGAACCCAGCTGTGTGTCCTTTAAAAGCGACCGGTCGAAGGGTCACCTCATTGACTTTAAAGGACGTCAACCTCCTGCTGTGAAGAAGTAAGTCGTAAAATTTAAGTTCTAACTGTTGTATCAACTCAGTCGTTTGTTGTTTCAACTGGATTTTACCAATAAATTCCTCTGAAACGTTGTTAAAAGGTTAATTTTGTCTGAAACAATTTAAAGTGAATTTCCTTCCTGGTGGTCTTCTTCTTTATTTACTAGAATCCAACAGAGACAAGACTCCTCTGATCCTGGACCTGGACCTGGACCTAATAACAGCTGTATGTCTTTTAAGAGCGACTGGTCAATGGGTTGCCTCATTGATTTTAAAGAAAGTCAACCTCCTGCTGCAGAGAAGTGAGCTGTGAAATATTCTCATTTATGACTTTCCTGTTATTTATCCAGATACGTTTTCATCACGTCATTAAACATTCATATTGTACATTTAACATGTTTTCCATGGTCTCCAAACTGTTGGATCAACTGTTCTGTTGTTTCAACGATACACTAATTGGATCAGTCTGTGTCATCTCAGATCGCGGTGTTGCTGGTGTTTCAGAGTGTTTTGTTATCGGGTCTGTCTGCATCAGTTCAGGCAGAATTCAGAAAACTTGTTGCTGTACTGTCTCAGATTTTGATCAAAGTTTATTTTTTTGTTATGTAGGACTCAAACTAAGTTCTGTAAAAAAAATAAAAATGTTGCTTAATTTTAAATATGGAATGTTTCCAGACCTGTGAATTTATGTATTTTCACCTTAGAAACAATGAACATCTGGGAAGCCATATTAATTCATATTAAAATCTTCAGAAATACAGTGTCTAGTGAAAGTATTCACCTGCACTGGAAGCCTTCCCCATTTATTGTTTTTCAATATTGAATCATGGCCATTTTACCTTACCTGTTTTGAGTATAATTTAAAAAAGAAGCTTTCTCTTGTCAAAGTAAAAACAGATTTGTGAAACAACTAAAACATAAAATGCAAAACTATTGAGTTTATAAGTTTCCACCTCCTTTGAGTCAGTATTGAGTAGATGCACCTTTGGCTGCAGTTACAACATTGAACTGGACTGAGGTCCGGTCTCCAACTGACCCAGAACATTCAAACTGTTGTCTTTAAACCATTTCTGTGTAGTTTTGGCTGTTTGCTTTGGCTCATTGTCTTACTGGAAATCAAGTCTTTTCCAAAGTCTCAGTTCTCTTTCAGACTGCATCAGGTTCTCCTCCAGGATTTCTCTAGACTTGCTGCATTCATTTAAGCCTCTACCTTTTCAAGCCTTCCAGGGCCTGTTGTCAAGAAGCATCACCACATCATGATGCTGCCACCACCATATTTTACAGTGGGGGTAGTCTGTTTGTAATGATGTGCAGGGTTTGGTGTCTGCCTAACATAGCTTTTTCTCTGATGGCCAAACAGCTGGTAACCTTGTGATTTATTGTAATGTGTGTTGAATCTTCATCAGTTTCTCTGTTCAGAGTTCATTTCTGCTTTCTGTGTGGCAACATTCAATAAGACAATATCAGCCTCATGTTGTTGGATTTCAACATAAAGAACGTGGATGTAGCTTGTCATTTTTCCACATATAATGACAACATATAGACCCCTATGAACACCAGTTTAAGTCTCCTATCAATGAGTCACATCAACATTTGGTCAAAATATCAAAAAACTGGAACCTTGTCTTACCCACATCAAATTCTACTGAAGTTAAAAAACTTAAAATGTGGTGAAATGTGGACCAAAGATTGTATGCTTCGTAAGAAATATGGATCCATCCATATTTATACACTCAAAGGAACATCTGGGGCCTTATTACAACTTTTGTTCTTAAATTTTGTACTTTCTTCCATTTTCAAGGTCCAATAATTAAAATGCTGGAGACATAGAATGATTGGGATCTGCTGGAAACAGCTATATCTGTGTCCTCAGCAAATATTATGGCTGTGACATTTTTATTTATGGATGTATTGTGATTTGAAATTCTCAAAATTCTGCAACAATATTTTGCAGTCCTTAACTTTGGGTCCCAAATAACATACAATTCAACTCTGAACTGAATCTGAGATGGTGCAGCAACACATGTTCCAGTTGAAAAACCTCAGAATGAATCCACATGGATTGGATTCTGGCAGATATAATTATTTCTGTCCATCTGTCCACCTGCCCACCATAGTGCTCTGGACACCTGGATATCTTCTGATTGATGTTTAGTTCTGGAGATGGAGCAGCAATTTAGAAATCCAGTAATATTAATCAATACAACCAATCTAAGCAGCGTGAACTGAGGGTCTGATATGAACAGGTGTGTAAATGGTGTCTTTCTAGACTTTATCCAATCAGGTCAGTTTGTCTCAGGTGAAATCTGATCAGGTTGGAGACACGTCAAAGATTGTTAAAGTAAACAGGAAGCAGCTGAACACAGTTTGGATTCACAGCGAAGTCTGAACAGGTGTTTTGGTTCCTTCTGGTACAGCTTGGAGGAACCAGGAGGAACCAAGAGGAACCACACACCACCAAAACCATGTTTCTGATTCGCTAGACTACAATTCTACAATTTTATTTTGCAGATGCTTTTATCCAAAGCGACGTGCATTTGAGAGCAGATACAAGACAAGCAAGGATCTAATGAGGCATTCAGCCCCACCAGGCCTCTTCACAGAGCTACCAATGACTCTGATGTTTAAAAATGTGCTTTCTTGGACGTTCAGCTTGTGTTTGTCTCTGTGTGATAAGCTGTGAGCTAGCTATTGATGTTTGGTCCACAGAGTGGACCAGCAGAACTCAGAGGTTCCCAGTACTCAGTCTGACCAGCAGCATCACCTGGACTCCATATTCATGGTGTGTACATGTACAACAACTACTTCTCCATCTATTGTGTCCACAGTCATCTCCATGCTGCTCTTTGTAGACCAGTGGACTGTCAGTGTGTCCAACATTGATCTGATGTTTTGCTCCATGATTTCACTCTGATCGGCTCATTCACAGATTTCTCTGTTCCAGCTGCTGGAAGACAACATGGTGACTTTTGTGAAGAAGGAGCTGAAGAAGATGCAGAAGAGTCTGAGTCCAGATTACCCAGAATGCTCAGAGAGTCAGAGGGAGGATGAGGAGGAGTTGGAGGGTGATGATGAAGAGCAGAGGAGCGGCAGAGAGATGATTCAGCAGATCACAGTGTTCTTCCTGAGGAGGATGAAGCAGGAGAAGCTGGCTGACTGTCTGCAGAGCAGTAAGAGGATTTCTGTAAA